CTCTGCTGCAGCAGAAGTTGTCTGCAACTTTGACCTGTGGGGAAACCTGCCATCCTTTTCCTCCTGAACTTGCTGCGGGCACTCTGTGCCCAGTGACTAACCAGTGCTTCGATATGACACATGAAGGTACATTAGACAATATTTGAACTGGAAGTTACTGGTGTAAGATCATATGACAGTGAAACATAAGAACAGATGTAGGTCATTTGGCCCATCATTCAATTTGATCAGGGCTCATCAGCTACCTCACTTTTTTCTGTGCTATTTCCATAACCTTTGATGTCATTTAGCACCAGAAACCAATTGATTTCTGTCTTGAACACGTTCAGTGATTGAGCTTCCACAGCTGTCAAAGGTAGACAATTCTATGGATTCACTGTCCTCTAAGTGAAGAAATGCCTTCTAATTTCAGTCTTAAATGCCCCATATCCTGAAATTAGACTAACCATCCAGGTGAAATAACTTATGCACATCCACCCTGTGGGAATTTTGTAAGTTTGAATGAGATCACATCTCATTCTTTGAAACTGTAAGGAATGTCGATCCTGTTTCCTCATCTCCTAAGAAGATCCTGCCATTCTCTGGGACTAATCTGGTTAATTAACCTCTGTTGGTACTCCCTTTATGACAAATATATCCTTTTAGATAAGGAGACCAGAACTGGATGCTCCAATGTTCCAAGTGAGATCTCACCAAGGCTGAGAGTCTTTACTCCTGTACTCAAATTCCTTTGTAATAAAAGTCAACATGCTATTTGCCTTTCTAAATGCTTGCTGCACTTGCCTGCTAGCTTTGTGACCCAAGAACAAGGACTCTTGGATCCCTTTGGACACCAGTACTTGCCAAACTGTCACCATTTGAGAGATGCTTCTTGCTGTGAGCAGTGCAGCTCTGAGCCTATAATTTCAGGCAATGCTGGCTGACCAGGCAGCATATCTTGTGACTCTGAAAACATAAATGCACTAACGGAGGGAAAGAGGACCGTATGGAAAGAAAGAGGTGCAGTTACACCATCTGCATCTTGTACATGACACGGGATTGTGGAATGAAGTGGGATTTGAGAAGATACGTTAGCCAGAAAACTCCTCATTCGGGAGGGTTTCACTCTGCCTAAGCAGTTTCAACTACGTTGGTAATCATGAGCACTATCTCTGCAAGGGAATGAGGTCCTGCAGCCTTGTGCATCTTCCACTGGTTCCTTGCTGCCCCTGTTGCCATGTGCTGGCCTATTCCCGCAAGTGAGAGCGAACAGTTTGATTTGAATATATTGCAGTGTGCTGAGTAATATATCTGTTATGTAGGGGAATGTAGAATCTGAAGGTGTGGTTATTAAGTTTTTAGAAATGGTGCATATTTGAGAGTGAGCAGTAGTGTATGGCTTTTATGTATAAATCCTGATTACTAAGAATTGTTACTAGATGAGCGTTGGGCAGTGTAGTGTACTTAGCATTTAGTCCTTAGGACCAGATGCCTGACATTGACTTTTTGGTTATCTGCTTCTTTAGCCTTTACAAGGCATGTCTAAAGGGCCTCTTGCTGAGCAATGAATTACTTTTCTCCTCCAATCCATTTTTTTGCACTAATATCTTCAATGCTGAGAACCTGGGAACCCTGTTTCTGACCTGTTTTATCATTGCTCTGCTTTGTTCCTGTTGCGAGAGTCTCTATCAACAATTTCCAATGTCTGCCACAGTCAAAATGCACCTTTCTGAAAGGAAATGCAAGCTAACTTTACTTGGTGCTAGCCTCACACAAACATTAGTCTCCTATTCTAAGTGCAGCTGTTTAGCAGTGTGTTCGGCATTGGGCTATATACCACAATCATGAAGATGAACTGGCAGCACAGTTTATAAACGTTAGCTCTATGGGGTGGTGTTATCGCGAATTGCCTGCTAATGTAGCTTCTTGTGATTTAGCGCGGCATTTGTTTATTCACGGGTATAGTCATCAGTTGCATGTTCTTAATTATTCCAGATAAGCTAGTGGTGAATTGCAATACTGAACCACTGCAGTTCATTTGGTGTAGTGACTTAAGGCTATATTGCTATTCCATTACTGTCACAGGGTCAAAATCATGGAACTGCTCCTATCAACACTGTTGGTGTCTCTACACCCCGAGAAGGCAGCTCACCATGCCTTCATCAAGGCCAGCTAGGGATAGGAAATAAATGCTGGCCTGTCCAGTGAAGGCTGCATCCTGTGAACGAATCGAAAAAAATCATCAGCAAAAAAAACACAGGTGGCATAGTGGTTAGCACTGCCTGGGACCCGGGTTTGATTCCAGCCTCGGGTGACTGTGTGTGGAGTTTGCATGTTCTCTCCGTGTCTGCGTGGGTTTCCTCTGGGTGCTCCGGTTTCCTCCCACAGTCCAAAGATGTGCAAGTTAGGTGGATTGGCCATGCTAAATTGTCTGTGGTGTTCAGGGATGTGTAGGTTTGGTGCGTTAGCTAAGGGAAATACAGGGATAGGATTAGGGGATGGGTCTGGGTGGGATGGTCTTCAGAAGATCTGTGTGGACTTGATGGGCTTGAATGGCCTGTTTCCGCACTCTGGGAATTCTATGCTTCTATAATCAGCAAACATCCCCACTCGCAATGTTTTGGAGAGAAAGTCTTTGAAGCCTCCAATGTTCCAGAATTTTCCATCAGTATTGCTGAGTCAGGACGTGCGATATGTTCTATCACACTGAAAGACGCACACACCAGAGTTGCTGGCAAAGGTATGCAGTTGAAAGGGTGTGGCTGTCAGCATTCCTAACAATGACTTTAGGCCCCACGTGGTGTCCTGCTATCAGTTCAAACTTGAGTAAGAAAACCTCTTGATAATCATGAGTTACTGCCTTCCCATGGCTGACGAATCTAGTAGTGCTTTGTTTTGAATACCACTGGAACAAGCTCCAAGGCTAATGAGGCCACAATGTGCTTGGAGTGTGGGATTTGCTGGGATACTTGACCCACTCTAATTCAGGCAGTGCTTGTTCTAGTAGTACACTACATTCTAAGGTACTAAGGCCAGTGTCCTATGAATGTAGACATAGCACTTTACCGTGGTAATACATGAAAATAAAGCCTGTTTTTATTTAAAGTAATATAAATGCAGGTAGTCACTTGGCCGTACAGAACCAGAGAACAGGCAATCCCCAGGTTGCAAGCACGTTCTGTCTTGGAATCTGTATGCAAGTCAGAACGCTGCAGGATGATGTAAAGCAGCTGTTTGTAAGTACAGGAAATGTTTGTATTGTTGGGTATAGTGGTGACTTGTAAACTTTACACCCCGGTTTGAGATTGTACTCGTAAGTATCAGTGTTTATAAGTTGGATGATTGTAAATTGAGGAACCCTTGTATTTTTGAAAAAAATGAGACATGCTGTCAAAGGTTATCATCTTTGACTCATAAGGACAAAATTGCAAGAATACCAAATCTCAAAGGAAATGACAGCTCACGCTTGAAGTACCAGTAAGTGAGGCTAGTTTAGATTTAGTTACTCGATGGGCTAAAGGGCCACTTTTGTACTGTATGATTCTATAACTTTGAGAAAGAGGTTGCTGATTGTACTGTGATTGGTGGATGCTTTTCCATGGAGAATGCACCAGGGAACTGTTGAAAGCAAAATACTGTGGATGCTGGAAATCTGAAACATAGAATGCTGGAGAAAGTCAGCAGATCTGGCAGCATCTGTGGAGAGAGAAACTGAGTTAATGTTTTGCGTGGTATGATTTCTTCAGTTCTGCCTAGTGCACATGAAACGTCAACTCTGTTTCTTGCTCCAGCATTCTGTATTTGTTCCAGGAAACAGTTAACTCGAGACTTGCAGCTTCGAGGTTTTTCCAGAGTGGTGTCCTAGCCACTAGGTGAAGCCCGTCGTGATCTGGAGTCAAGGCCCTTTGAGAGTCTGGAGAAGCTAGGTTCTGATGTGGACTGGGTTGGAAGGACTGTTACTCTGAACTTTATATTTCTTTGTTCTAATTTATTCCGATGATCTGTAATGCTGGACTTTTTATCTCTTTATTTTTCTAATTTTTTCCCTTAAGAATTTGTACTTGAGTCTGTATCTAGGTACATTTTGCCTAAGATGCTGCTGTAAGTGGTGACTTGTAAACTTTTCACTGTACACGTTCGAGTACGTGACAATAAAGCAAATTCTAAATTCTAAGAAGAATGCCAAGTTTGTTTTTTGAATTCAAATGTTCTCACATTATGCTTTTCTCAACTGAACATTTTGGGGGGCTAGCCTTTCCCTGACAATTCTCTAACTAATTGAGATATTTTCCAGTCAACCTGTTCAGAGACTTGAACCTGAGCCTCCTGCCCCAGAGGTAGGGACATTGCCCTCTGTAACAAGAACCACCCCTAATCCATCCATATTGACTCATCTGGGTTAAATTTGAATGGAGTCCACTTTCTGGGACCCTCTTCTCGTGGTAATAATTGTTGTTCTCTATGCCATAGTCAAAGGTGTGGGAGAGCAAGGGGAACATCAGGGAGTAAGGATTCTGAGAAAGTCAGGAGTGGTGAGTAGTGGGGAATGAGAGGTTGGAAGAGGCCACAAACAGAAGGGCATGATCGCTTGAGAAGAGGTGATGAGCTAAGCTGCAAGGCATGCTCAGTTACTTGACGGCATGTGCAATTGTTGTGCTGAAATGGAAACTGTTATGAGTGTGTGCTTTACATTGGGGATATCTGCATTGAGAGTTTTTACAGTTTGACTCATTATCATTTTCTGTTTAATTGTGGATTTAAATTGACATCAGTTGCTATCAGTATCTTTGCCAGTTGAGCAGATTCTGCTGAAAAGGCAGATTTGTTGCATTTTAAGAAATGTTTCTTTAAATTGGTCAGAAACAAAATTTTAGATAGGAACATCACTAGACTTATTGTCTTTAAGTTGAGACTTATAGGCTTAAGTTGGAAATGGAGAACACATTTGCACTTTCCATATGTTCTGTTCTATTCTGCATTAAATGATTAGAAAAGTAATTATTTTACATTTTTCCACCTAGGTCGAAATTGTGACTTCTGAGTGTACAGGCTTGGATTGGACTGCTCAATCTGTAACTGCTAAGAAGAGAAAGCAGCCTCAAGTGAACCTTGCTCCTGAAACCTCTGCTGATTCTCAAATGGAGTCTGGTAGGGACCTTGACGTAGGAAACCTGGAGAGGGTCGATAATGAGAAGTCCCCCCCAACGCTGCCAAGCTGTTTTGATGTTTCATCAGCGCTTGAGCTGAACAGTCTGGTTACCAAGGAGGAAGAGAGGACATCTCCGTCCTTTCATAAGTCACATCCTCCTGATTGTGAAAACACTGCCGATCTTTCGTGGTCAAATCCGCTGGAGGTAGATGAAACGATCCGAGATGAAAAAATAAATCGTCTCAAAGAAATGCTGAAGGAGAAACAGGCAGCACTGGATCAGATGAGGAAGAAAATCTCACTTTCAGATACTGCCTCCTATTCAACTTTGGAGTCTTGTAGGCTGTAGTGAACTGTATACTATATATTAAACAATGTGTGTTAAACATAAGCTTTGTGAAAATTAATGACAGCCTCCTCAGGAGTACTGCAAGTTTCAGCTATTTCCCACAGGAAAGTAGTGACTCGTACGTGTATCTGTATATTTAAAATTGATAGTTATGAATAGTCACTATTTTAAAAATAAAAGAATTTCTACTTTTTTTGTAATTCCAGGATTTTGATTTGTATTTTGGCTATGTGTATATAGAATATTGGGTGTTTGAAATCTTTCTTCTGTTGTCCAAAACAAAATAATTGTTTTTTTCTTCTTATTCATCAAGACAGTGCTCATGAACTACATCTGGTGTGTTGAATAAAGATTAGCTTGGATAAGAATGCAGTTTCATCTCAAATTCTAGAAAAGTTTGTAAGTTGACTTTTTTTTTGTGTTTAGCAATTTTAGCAAAGATTGTGGGGTTATGATTGTTAAATTCCAGCTTTTTAGTAACTAGTTGTGATTATTGGCTGCAATTTTGTTCCATCTTTGCAAAAGGTGTCCTGGAGGTTTGTCTTTGGTTGGTGTCATTTAACCCCTGGGGACCATTTAGTCAAAGAAGCCTTTTTGTTTGCACAATATAATCAGCAAAGGACTTTAGGAGTTGTGCTGGTGCAGGGTGAGGATCATAAGGCTCATTCCTTGTAAAATGTGCTCAATTTACGTAGAGAATGGTGCTTCAAGTTGAAAATTACAAATGACAAACCTGATGGGTTATTCACAACTTTTTAAAAAAAAAATCATTCACAGGATGTGGGTGTTGCTAGCTAGCTTAGCATTCATTAGCCATTTTCTGCCTGAGGCCAATCAAGAGGCAACCACCAGTGTGGGCCAGAGCAGCTGGGTTTTATCCCAACAGGCTGTGAATTCCAGATTTTTTATTATTCAAAGTGCACCATTTACCCTGGCAGAATTCAGTCCTGAGTCCCAGAATAGTATCTGGCTCTCTAGCCTGTTAACCCAGTGATAATACCAGTAAACCACTACCTCTCTAGAGAGATCAATTATTTTGGAGATTCCCAGAAGAAGATAATGATTTGTTTTATTGTTTATTTAAATGCAGTATTTATTCAAAGAACATGACAGCATAGTAACTGTCTTTTTTCACTGTCCTTTCACCTCAGGAACTTGGCTACAACTCCAACCCCTTTCCAAGCAGGCAACTTGTTCCCAATTGGCAAATAGTTAAAAAAGTCACTGTAGCTACAAGATTGAGGGAGAGCTTATATGGCTGTGCTAGGACACTTATCAGTGGGTGCTGGACAAGTGGAGTTTGGTTCCTTAAGAATTAGGGTCTCCTTAAGTGAGGGATTTAAAGCCATTCTACAGATAATTGGTTTAGTGTAAGCAAACCACAGCTTGTATATCTTCACACTGTCCTGTCCCCACCCTTCCTTGCCTGTTGGTATAAATAGTAAAAAGGGGTGGGGCAGCAGAATACTTAATTTTTGACATTATATTACTGCCAGTGAATCACAATGATCATTCTATGGTCATCATCATCAATAAGACTAGCCCAGAATTCAATCAAATTTGGAATTAAAATGGCTGTAGCTACTATGGTGAAACTTGAACCTATGTACTTAAATGGTTGGATGACAAATCCATTCTCAATACAGAGTGATCATATGATTATGATCAACATTAGGAATTACTGTACTCAAAAGGATTGAGCACCTCATTGTGGATAATTGGAGAGAGATATAGAAACATAGTAGGACTACAACATTTGGCCCAGAGCCTGATCCACCTTTGAATTCCATGAAAACATTCAATGTTTGGCTTTAACAGTTTTCTGTGACAGAATTGGGTAAGCTTCCCACGCTCTGGGTAATGAAAGTTTTCATCTATGCTGAATGACATCCTGTATCATTAAACAAAGCCCTGGATTCTGACTGCCTGGTCATTGGGAATATCCAGTTTTTAAACTTGCCTTTTTTAAAAAAAAAACCATTTGTGGGATGTGGGTGTTACTGGCTAGCCAGCATTTCTTGCCCATTCCTAGTTGCCCTTGAGAAGGTGGTGGGGAGCTGCCTTTTTGAACCAGTGCAGTCCTCCTGCTGTGGCTTGACCCCCAATGTTATTAGGGAGGTCATTCCAGGATTTTGACCCAGCAACAGTGAAGGAATGGTGATATATTTCCAAGTCAGGATCGTGAGTGACTTAGATGTGGTGATGTTCCCATATACCTGCTGCCCTTGTCCTGCCCAACGGAAGTGGTCATGGGCTTGGAAGGTGCTGTCTGAGGATCTTTGGTGAATTTCTGCAGTGCATCTTGTAGATAGTACACACTGCTGCTACTGAGCATCAGTGGTGGAGGGAGTGAATGCTTGTAGATGTAGTGCCAATCAAGTAGGCTGCTTTGTCCTGGATGGTGTCAAGTTTGAGTGTTGTTGGGGGCTGCACTCATCCAAGCAAGTGGGGATTATTCCATCACACTCCTGACTTGTGCCTTGTAAATGGTGGACAGGCTTTGAGGAGTCAGGTGAGTTGCTTGCTACAGTATTCCCAGCTTCTGGCCTGCTCTTGTAGCCACTCTGTTAATGTGGTGAGTCCAATAGAGTTTCTGGTCAACAGTAACCCCTAAGATGTTGATAGTGGGGTATTCAGTGATGGTAACACCATTGAATGTCACTTGCCAGCCCAAGCCTGGATATTGTTGCATACAAATGTGGACTGCTTCAGTATCTGAGGAATCAGCAGCAAACATCCCCACTTCTGCCCTTATGATGGAAGGAAGGTCATTGATGAAGCAGCTGATGCTTAGGCCTAGTCCTATTAGCTTTATAGGTTTCTAGACACTCCTCCCTTATGCTCCAAAACTAATGAGTATATTCATAACTGATCCTGTCTCTTCTAATATCAGTACTACCATCTCAGTAGGTTACCTTAGCCCTGCTGTGCAATTCAGACTAATTTTCTCCTGATTTCTTGAGCAGTTGATCTTCCAATAGTTTATTATACATTAAGATATGTATATCATTAGGAAGGCTGGCATTTTTTTTAAAAATATGCTACTGCTACCACCACCATTAGAAGGTACTGTGCCCCTAGAGCTACTATCCTTAGGTAGTCCACACTTCTGAAGAGTACAAATCATTGCTAGATTTTTCACCAGATGTTCTTGCATCAGGGACAAAGACAGACTATTTGTAACATTGGTAGTAATCTTTCTACATGGCAGAATACTTTTCACAATCATGGCAGTGAGAAGTATTTGAGCACAGGTGTAGTAAAAGCAGCAGCAAAGCCACATTTGAAAAGTAGGTAAGGTGGGTGGTTGTGATTTTGTAATTAGGCATATAGTTGTGTAACATTGACAAGTGGTCGTCTCTTGGACCTGGAGCAAGTTAAGTGTTACATACATTGTCCTAGGAAAAGGTTACAAATGGGCAAAGATTGACTTTCAGGTACAAGAAATACACCTTGTACAAAGAGCTGAGAGTCAGTGTAGCAGCAACATGGTTGAACACAGCTGATTACTTATTGCTATTTGTTCAGTATAGCAGAATAAAACTCCACTATCCTTTCACTGAAAGACAATTTACAAAGCTTGCAGACATTTCACTTGAACCTCTTCCTCACTTTTCATGGAGGGGGAGGGGTATTTAAAATATGTAGAGAAAAGTTCAGTTTTGTTCCCCGTAAACAGCATCTGCTGTTCATCTGTAATGGTCAAGTAGTAGTGATATCCACATTCAAACCATGCATTGGGGTTTCTGGTCAAGTCACTGTTGCTAATAAATCCAAATCATTAGCAGACCCTGGGAGACTAGAACAAGTGGAATGTCTATATAATGACCCTGTCAAGTATTTTCATAAGCTAAGACCTAGAATTTCATTTTTCCCCCCAGCAGATATAATCTCAACTTCAATAAATCTTTATCCCCCATTGTGTACTAGAGACCAGAAACTCAGCCCTTCATTTGAATTGTACTGGAGATTGATTGCTATATTTTGTACAAAGCATTGTTTATTCAGCCTCCATTTATCATGAACCAGTTGAAATTGGTATTATAAAAATGGAGTTCAAATAAGTCAGAATCCAGCTTCAACAGGGAGACAACTCTGCTGCGTGGAATGTTAGATGCAAGATGAGGTCCTACTTAGTGAAAATTTTTTTTTTTTTTTTTGCATTGAAGACTGTCCTCAACTTGTGTTATAGGTAGGTTCATGCATTTTAGGTAACAAATTTCAAATTTCATCACTTACCAACTTTCCCATTGGTGAGTTTTGGATCAAATAACACTTGACACGTACAATTAGATCTGGAAGATAAGACTATAGTCTTGAGTAGACATGTTGCACAATTGCAAGATCTATGCCAAACTTGGATTTAGATCATGGTTCATTCAAGTGCTGGCAAAAAAACAAAATTGAGCAATATTTAAAAAGTTTATACACTGGGAAATTACAGCAAACAACTTGACAGAGGCATACAAGAACAAGAAATAGGAGTAGGGAATTTGACCCTGAAGCTTACTTTGGCATTCTTGCCTGACCTGAAACTTCACTTTGTGTTCCCAAAAAACCCTGGATTGAATGTTTGGGACACTGAATTATGGTGGTTTCAGGTAGACTGATCATGCTT